TGTGCACTGCTGCAAGCAGATGCCGAGGGGCGAGATTGGGCGATCGCGTTTGAATCTCGCCAGCTTCAGACTGCGGAAATGAACTACCCAGTCCACGACAAGGAATTACTTGCGATGGAGTTTGCGCTTGTCAAGTTCACAGCGCACCTGCTTGGCACAAAGCCGTTTGTGATCAACACCGATTATGCATTCTTACGCACTGCGATTCAGTCGCTTCACCTCTCGCAGGAGATGAACAGATGGCTCTGATTCTTTGCAGAATATAACTTTGAGGGAAAGTATAATCCAGAAAGCCGAAAAACTTGGCCGATGTGTTGTCACGCAGACCGGATTATGAGCTTACCCATGTCACGACGGTGACGTCGTCAGTAATGGATTTGATCCGGGCCGCATACCCGGATGATATTATGTGTAAGCACTGCTACAGGCTATCGGGAGCAAGAAGTTTAGAAACTCCGACAAGCACTTTTGGCGCGTTGCGCGCACGGATACACCACGAATTGTGGTTCCTCACGATGAGGATTTAAAATATCGTATCCTCTATGAAACCCACGACACCCCACTTATGGTCATCTTGGTCGTTAAAAGACGTACAGCTCGGTGAGCTACCAGTATTGGTGGCCCAAGCTGTACAAGTGGACGAGCACGTATGTGCGCACGTGTGAGACGTGTCAGAGGGTGAAACCCCTCCAAATGCAAAGGCGCAGCTGGCCAGTTTACCGGTGTTGGCAGTCCATGAGTGTAGACTTTGTGTTTGGCTTTCCGAAGGACTCGGTAAGCAACACTGGTGTAGTGGTCTTTGCGCACCGTTTGAGCAAGATGGCCCATCTTGCGGCAGTGCCATATACCATCGACGGTGTGGGTACAGCGGAGCTGTTTGTCGATCGTGTCTTTCGTCAACATGGACTCCCAGAGTCGATTGTCTCTGATAGAGACCCGCGCTTCGCTGGGAAGATTATGTCTACACTCTTCAAGGTGCTGGACATCAAGTTGACTATGTCAACAGCGGACCATCCGCGGATTGATGGTCAGACTGAGCACTTGAATCGTGTCGTTGAGCACGTTCTTTGCAGTGTTTGGCGCAGAGACACCGAAGCGCTGGAGCGCTATGTTGCCACTTGTAGAGCTTGCTCTGAACAATGCAGTGCATTCATCTACTGGCTATACGCCGCTCTACGTGAACGGTCTCGTTCATCCTCGCGTCCCGCTAACGCTGCCATACCATGGTTCAGACCTTGGTGTTGGAGGAATAGCCGAATAGCTCGCTGATGTCAGCCCCCTCATCATGCATAAAGAACTCGGAAACTTCCTGTTTACTAGAACGAGTACCTTACGACACGTTCACGATGCGATGGCTGAAAGCCAAGACATGCAAAAGGAATATGCAGACGGAAAAGGAAGAAGAAATGTTGAAAATATTGAGGTCAGAGACCTGTTTTTAATAAATGCTAAAAACCTTCCTAAACATGCAGTTTCTGCTGTCTTTAAGACGAAGCTTTGTCCACATTATTTTGGACCTTTTTGCGGTCGCGGCCAAGCGAGGCCTAGTATATACGCTGAATCTCCGAGAAGGATGCGCAGCCACCCGGTATTTTATGTGGGCTTGCTTAAGCCGTCCGTGATCCGGCGCAAGTGATCGTGGAAGCGTTGACGCCGGGGCAAAGGCGCTCGGTCACCCAGTAGCTGAACCAGCAACTAGTTTTGAGCCTGGAGTGCAACGATTTCCGTTTCCAACGGCGCAAGGTCCTCCATTGTCGTACAAAGTGACGCATTCGTCTGCTCGACGGCTCAGAGCCGCTCCGACATAGCTAGATAATCGTCAACGTGAGGCAGTCGGTGCACAAAGTGATCCATACACTCAAGGTCTTCTACACAGCGGTTGGTGACCTACGAGAGATGCTCGCCAGAGTACGGACTTTGGCTTTCAACGCTCGAACAGCATCGCAAGTCACCAGACGTCGTCGTTTGTCGCCGACCCTTCTCGATGAGAATGGTGGTGTCCACTACCACGTGAAATGCTTTGTGGGCTGACGTCGTCGATGGAATTTACTCCAATATCTTGTGAAGTGGCGAGATACCCCGACTCCGAGAACTCGTGGAGTTTGAGATGCCACTTCGGCAGGACTGCCCAGACGTCGTTGATGCGTATGATCAGAAGGATCATGACGCTTTGCGTCGTTTTGTGCATCGCGCTTCTCGGCAGCAGCCAGAAAAGCCGAAGGACCACGAGCTGAGCTCAAGCTATGGCCCTGAGCTGCTGTGGTCGAAGCTCACCCGTGTGAGAAACCATAGAGCTGGCGGTAGTGTTGTATATTGTTCCATATGCTGCAGTGCGACCGTACATAGGTGTGTATTACACAGTTTTTAATCACACAGTGGTGTGGCTACATCGTATGCCAGTAGTATTGCATATTACTGTATTAATCAGGTTTTGCTGTATTAATAAGGTATAACTATATTGATTAGGAAAACCTAGGGTTTTAGATATTGGCGGCTCTGTCGCAACTAAAACAGTTAAATACAGCCTTAATTTTGAACAGAAGTGTTCGTTTGCCTTAGTAAGGTTTTAGTACATGGAGGTAGCCGATTGCGATCCGCTACACTCGGATTGGTTCTTGGAAGAACGCAAGGTCGGTGACCTTAGCTTAGCTTCCTCTAAGCAAAGCCCGCTACAGGTACCATGATGTCCTTGCTTAGCCCGTCACCTCTCTACCAACTTTAATTTCAGACGAGCCTAGGGGCAAAGAGCTAAACTCCTGGACGTGCACTGCCATGTCTGGCGGTTCGCCTTTTCTAGGGTTTCTCAGGGCCAGTGATTCAAAATTGTGCTGGGTAAAGCTTCATCTTATGAACCGTACATCTGGTACTGGATTGCCTGGACTTTTCTCGGTGTGTTGTTGATTCGAAAGTAAATTTTTCCGGTCACTTTTTAAAATGCTTGTCATAGTTTTTTGCTAGATCCGTTAAGGATGTGTTTCAAATTTGAGGATCTGCTCAATGTAGTAATATTTTCAGACTGAGGGGCTCGAGAATATTCTTGTCCCTACGATTTGGGCTTTTCTTTCTTTTGGCCTTTGCCGTCGCGCTTTCTTTTTTTTTCGTTGCGAGTTCATTCTTAAAGTTCATGCTCATTGTATCCTTTTGAGTACATGCTGTTGTCTCTTCCTAACTTTCTTGGGCAGCAAATTTAAAGGCTGTAAATTTAAATTTAATCAGACTTTTGTCTGACGTACGGTTTGTTCGCTTTGTTGTATGTTGCTGAAAAAAGTCCGATTATCGTTCATATTTTGGAGGACATAAAACCATCGAGCAGAGAGCAAATTAATGACAATTATTTCGTGCTGTATCGACATCTAAATGCTCGTTGTATGGTTGACATGATAAATGAATTAATTAACATGAACAATGCGACGATGCGACTTTAAATAGGACAATTCGAGCTCGAACATGGAGTCCCATAGCTTTCCGGTCACAAAGACGTGACGTGTTGTCGGATCGAAAGCAATCCCGTTCATCACGGCATTCGATCTTAAAGGGTTTGTTTTCATGGCGTCCGAATGGAGGTTTGAAACCATGTTTGGTATCCAGTCGAGATTAATCTGTTCTAATACATCTCCATTCGCAACGTCAATACGTAATATGCAATTTTTGTACCACACATTCGCCAGGAGCTCGCCCTCTACAAACTCTAGCTCATTTAAATTTTCCACATTATTGCCATTCTTTTGCACCGTGATGCTATGGTGCAGCTTGAAATCATCTAGCGGATCGAAAAAGGAAATGTTGGCGGAACCGTCGCTAGCGATGAGATACGCCCCATCGGTCGCGAGCCCCCATCCTTCTTTAGTAAATGTCGTTAGCGGAAATTTGCCAATTATTTGAAAGTCACGTCGAGAAAGCACTATAACCTGCTGCGCCTTGTACGTTAGTGCGAACAATTTGTCACCAAGCACAGTCACACCCTCACCGAAGGTGTTGGCATCAAAGCGAAATTCTTGTTCAACAGGCACATACTGTATGGATCCCGTTTTAAAATTATCAGTATCAGGGTCTAAAAACCTGTATTTGCGAATGAAGGACTTGCCGTCGAGCCCCGTGGACTCAATAAGCGCGCCGTCGTCGATTGCTAGACCTTCCGTGAAGGCACTTACGTTGTGCGGGTGGATTGTAATTAGACGCACAACTGTGGAAAGATTAGTCTCAGCTAGAATGTAGTTAATTAAGCACGTCAGCAGCAAGGCGGGTAACAGCAGCGGCGGAGAGTTCAGGACCATGGAAGCAAGATGGGGGGAGTTTTAATCATCGAATCGATTTGGACCAATAGTAATGACCTGGGTACAATATTGTATAATTGTAAGAAGCCAAAATTTGGTTGTAGCTGTAAGAGTTTAAGCTCTGCAATTGGTACATTACACTTGTTGAATACCAATGGCGGGATCTGTACTTCACCACTCCACGATATGCACATCAAGACATGAAATGCTATTATTGCACATGTAACGTGTCAATTTACAGTGCAATGTAAATGCTGTCGCTTTGTTTTGCATATTGTTGAATCGGATGCTCAAAGAAGAGCATGAAACAATTTTACGACGTGATAGACGACACAGCTTGAATGTCTTTCTATTATACATCTTGTAGCCATTCACTCTACGCGGTACAGTTATCAGCAGTATGTGAATAAATTACTGAAGTAGCAGATGTATCAAGGAACCAAGTCACATAACCATAAAGCTTTCCCTCTACAAAAATTACACATCTTCGAATGACCCGACAAGTCTCAGAAGACAAAAATACGCAAAATTTAGGAGCCTTTACATTACACTGGATCTTTCCGCCTCGTGAGCTGAACCTCAAAGAATACTTCGATGGAAAATAAATTACCAATTGTAAGAAATATGATCATTTTTGTACACATATCGGCCAGCCGATATCCAGAAACGATTTCCCCTACCCCGCTGCAAAATCAGCACGAGTCTGGTTATAGAAACGAGGAATCAATATAAACTTAATGATGTCGGACCTAAACTTTACGTATTACTATGTTGCAAATGCCCAGCTGCGACGGTCACTTCGCCTTTTGCGATTGTAACTTCATCGCCAATCCCATCGGTCTGGTTTCCGGACTCAAAGGTGCTAAGCGCTTTTCAAAAGCTTACGTGCCATACTTTGAGGCAGTTGGACGAATTCGACAGTTTACTTTCTCCACGTGCACAAGAGCTCAAGGTCTCTCGGTGAAGTGATGAATCGCCAGAACCATCCTCCAATGGGTGATACCGGTGTCAGTAAAATGCACGGAGCTGCTGCACGTGCACCAGCAAGCGATCTTAAAATTACGCCAGCTCAAAACCATCAGCCTTTCGTTGACATTTCGACGCCGTCGCCCAACTCTCATAACCAACAATTAGGCAGCAGAAAGGGCAGTCAGCGCAAGCGCGTGCCAGCACCGCCTCCTCCTCCCATGGCTGGTCAGTTGATGTCCTCGTTTCATGGTGGTTCGAGTTTTATGAAAGGTAGTCAATTTATTACCATGGATGCTTCCACGACTCATCTTGTTGAGCATGGCCCAAGCGCTAATTGCAAGAGTAGCCGTGTCAACCAGCGTCGTCGCCGTCCAAACGTGGAGGCCATGCTGGGATCATCTATGGTGCGCCAAAGTATGGTGCGTGCGTCAAATATGTCGTCGTTTACCAAGTCTCGATTTGGGCAACAGCTAGGCGGTGACATCATGTCAGTTCCAGTTCTTGGTGACTGTAATTTTGAGCAAAAGTACTCTGTGGCTATGAGCATGAACAGTCAAGGCATTAACCCCATCGATTCAACGTATAATCCTATGGCGAAGCTGCACGCTTTGCGTGAGGTTATGACCAGCATTCCCAGCAAAAACGGATACATCGAGCGTGCGACGTTTACACAAGCATTTGAAGTTGACGGCAACGATTTTGATGGTTACTCTACGAGCACTGGTGCAATCGACGGTAATGCTATTCTCATTGATGCTGTGATGGAGCTAGAAGTCGATGCGGAAGAGAAGCTCCTATTTATTTTCGAAACGCTTGATCCAGATAACTCAGGTTATGTGGTCGAGGATCAAATTGTTCAGTTGCTCGAGTCCAACTTTTCAGCCGCTCAGATTGACGTAGTTGGCACAGATTTTAAATCAGTTGTTAACCTCATGTTTCAGAAAGCTCAGGTACAAAACGAGGCAATGACGTACGAGCAGTTCAAAAAGGTCTTCACTCCCTACATCATTGACTCGTACAACCTTCACAAAGCAGAACCCATACACACCGCTCCTATCGCTCCTAAGAGTAAATTTGGAGCCTGGTACAGTGCCTACAAGCTTCGCATATGGTGGCTTATGGTGTACATCATCTTGAATAACGTCGCATTCTGGTTGAAATGGTTTTCGTACGAAGTAGATCCCGCCATTGGTTGGGGTCTTCGCATAGCACGTGGGAATGCTCAAGTGATCATGGTTAATTGTGTCTTTGTATTGCTGCCAATGTGTCGTTCGATCGCGCAAGTAATGAAGCGAAGTCGCATTCTGTGGCGCTACATTCCGTTTGACGACAGCATTGCTTTCCACAAAATTGCAGGATCTGTCCTCCTCACGTCTGGTCTCATACATACTGTTGCCCACATCGTTAACGAAATTAATTTGTACCTGGTCGCTACACCTGACGAGATTAGGCGCTCTATATTCGTCACTCGTCATGTATCTGCATTCGTCAATGGTGAGCGACCGCCGTTCACGACCATGCTTCAGTCGCTTCCAGTATGGACTGGTTTTATTTTGCTCACGATTACGTGTATTTCCTTTCCGCTGGCTGCAATCCCCAAGTTCCGTCAAGGCAATTTTAACGTTTTCTGGTATTCGCATATGCTCTTCGGTCCATTTCTGATTGTTCTGTCGCTGCATGGTACCGCTTCATGGCTTGCTCGCTCCTCTTCTTACATTTGGATATTGCCACCGTTTCTCATCTATCTTCTTGAACGCCGCTACCGGTACGCAAAGGTGTTTGCTGCGCCTGTGCGCATCATGGAAGCCATGGAACTGGATGGTGTAGTGGCATTGTTTATGGAGAAACCCCGACGTTTTGTTTATCGCCCCGGTATGTACATGTTTGTTAATTGTCCGGTCGTGTCGACTCACGAGTGGCATCCCTTCACGATCTCGTCAGCTCCGGGTGACAACTATATAAGCGTCCACATTCGGGCTTGTGGTGACTGGACAAAGGCGTTACGTAAAGTGATATCGGACTGCCACGAACGCAAGGTATTGTATCCAGACATTTACTTGGATGGACCAGTTGGGGCTCCGACTCAAGACTATCATCGTTACAAGACTGTCATTTGTGTTGGTGGGGGAATTGGTGTCACCCCCTTCGCCTCGATTCTAAAGGATGTGGTACACCTATGGGAGAGTAATCGATGCGAAAATTGCAAGCACGTTCGACATCCAGGCTCATTTAAAATTCAAAAACTATATTTCCATTGGGTCACGCGAGGACAGGAATCGCTTGGCTGGTTTGAAGAGACAATGAACCAAATTGCTGAAATGGATCGTGATAACGTAATTGAAACGCATCAATATTTGAGTACGCTGAAGGGGAGCGAAAACACCTCCCAATTAAAGATGTTTCAAGAGTTTGTGCACGAAGAAACCGGCAAGGATTTTGTGTCAGGTTTAAGCACAAAGCAACTCACGCACTTTGGCCGTCCAGACTGGGACAAAGTCTTTTCAGAGGCTAAGGCAAACCACGTTGGTGAGGAAGTTGGTGTGTTTTATTGTGGTCCCCATGCGCTTGAAGAGATCTTGGGAATCATGTGCAAGCGATACTCCTCTTCAGACCCAAATGGAACTATCTTTGACTTCCACTCGGAGAAATTTTCCTAGATTACTGTTAATTGTTAGTATGTATGCTCAATTGTTGCTCGTTGATAACAAGTACCTTGAAGTTTGAATTATTTTTACAGATTAGGTGAATGGTATTGAATTTGATAGCACTAAACTTTCAGAATGTCCAAAAAGTTGCTTGTTGTTGGCGGTGCTGGTGCGCTGGGCCGTGGCGTAGTAAGCCACTTTGCCCGCGCATCGTGGACGGTCACGTCGGTGGACTTTACCGAGAGTGCAGATGCTCACGCCAACGTTTTATTATCTAGAAACAACTCGCTGGAGTTGGCGAAGCAGACTCTTGACGACATTTCCAGCCGGTTTCTTAGCAAATATCGTCGATTTGGTTTTATAGAGGCTGATAATTTGTGACGACAGGTGTGGCAAGCTAAACACAGTGGTATGTACTGCTGGTGGCTGGGCAGGTGGAAGCATTCGTGACGCTAATTCTTTGATCAACTTGAGAGAAATGCATGTAAAGAACCTCGAATCGGCCTTTCTGAGTAAGAACGCTGAAGTTCTTGTTACTTGGGTTTGATAGTAACCTTTATTGATTAGCAACGTACTTGGCGAGCCATTTGCTTGTACCCGGAGGGCTTCTCGTTCTTACGGGCGCCACTGCTGCCCTTTGCGCTACTCCTGGTATGGTCTCGTATGGCGCGAGTAAGGCAGCTACTCATCATTTGATCGCTAGTGCTGTGTAAGAAATATAGGACTTGTGGTTGCAGTAAAACCTGCATAACTTATCTCCTGTTTTTCTAAAACATAATGTAGAAGTGAACTTCCTGAAGGCTCGTCAGTCTTAGGTGTGCTCCCGATAACGATCGACACGCCTGTAAACCGAAAGTTTATGGCAAAGGCTGACTTTTCTACCTGGACAAAGGTACTTAATGGATTTTTGTTTGGTCATCATCTTTCTAAATAGCCTCACACAACATACCTTAATGCATCACAGGTCGAGGATATTGCTGAGAAGATTCAAGAGTGGTCTGAAGCCACTTACGCCACTCGTCCACCTAGCGGACATTTAATCACAGTGACCACTGAATATGGCACGACGTCCTGGAAGGACATTGACAATTCATTTCAATAGTAGGACGGTATACTTGACACGTATTCTTGGCCACGTTTAAATAGAATTACTGTGCCTCCATACTACATGATATTACCTTTCGTTGCATTATACCCGTCACGAACTTTCTACACTAACATAGCACTCTCGGCAAGAGTGCGCTTAAAGTGGTCGCAAAACGTGTTTAAAACGCGCTTAAACTTGCGCGAGTTTTCCATAGAAATTGAAGTAGAAATGTAATTAAGGAACTCAGTTCGAGCGCGATCGCTCACTTGGGAGCCCTTAAAGTTTCTATCGGATAGAAGTCGATTAATCAGCTCTTCGCTGCGCTGGCGTCCAAAGTAAACCCAGCAAGACCGCACAACCTCTGCAATCTTTTCCATCAAGTTCGGAGCCATTCCTCCTGCCGCAGCATTGAAAAGAGCAAAAAGAATATGGTACTGGACATCCTTTTCGAAAAGTAACGTCTGAATTTGTTCATGTAGCAATAACTTGCCTGCAAGCTCCGGTCCCTGAAACAAACTATCTGGCGTACGAATGATCTGACCGTACAAAGAGCTGAGCTCAAATAGGAAGTCTAAAGTAGCAGCTCCAACGTCAGGGTTCTGGGACTTCAACGCATGCAGTGCTAGTGCCAGAACACTTTCCAACTGGTTTGACCGAGCTAAGATTGATGGATGGTGGGTACCACAACTTGCTACCAACGTAAAAAGCGCAATGGTGAGGCCAGAATGTTGGTCAACACTGCCGTCTGCAGCTATTTTACTCATTGAAGTCTCACTGACGATCGTAAATACACGTACTAAGCTCGCACTTGTAGCGTCATCATCACCAGCGCAGCCAATGATACTCTTAATCACGCTTAAGTAACACGCATAATGACTATTCGCGAACTGTTCAAGTAAAGACGGCACAATAGCAGATGCAAAATTTAAAGCTTGAGATCGTAGTGATTCAAATACACCAACCAAAAGCGTGCAGAACGATTCCGCCACTTCTTCACAACAGCCATACAAACTTAATGCTACTTTCAAGATTTCCCAATGCCTTTGTAACACGCACAAAATTGGGTGTGGAGTATTTTGATCTAACTGCACTGAAATTCGGGTCGCCAATACGAAAAGGTGTCTAAGATTCTCGCTCAGAAACTCGACTGGGCTTTCATCATAAGTGTTTGCTTGACTACATCGAGCTGAAAGTTCCGCAAATATGATGGCTCCAAGTTCGTCTATTACTGGAAGCGCGTCCTTGTACGACACCGTGGTGAGGACACGGCAGATAGAGTCCACGATAAGCCTGGCACTATCACCCGTTAAGCATATTTTCGAAGATCCGCCCAACATTGGACAATTTAAACGGTACAAATCCACCAGTGCCTCGATCCAAAGCGGATTAAAAAAGTGTGACCCACAGCGAGAGGTTAACTTACGTAGCGCCACAGCGCCTACGTGGTCTTTTTGGCCGTACTGACTGGATGTGTATTCAAGTTCATCTTGAGTCTTTAGGCCATAGAAGATGATTTCAAATGCATAATTTGACAGGTACTCTGGATGTTTCGCAAACCAATGACCGATCATACCTAAGAAGATGGTTATAGTGCGTAAGAGTGCACGGTGTGAGGGCTCCTTCCTTGACAAATAACCTAACAGTCTCGGCATAAGACACGTATCTTCTTCACGAATAGATTTTGATACTGCACTCAGAGCGTGAACATAAACTTCAGTATGTTGCCACCACTAAACAGATATATCACAATAAGAGCACAATATGACGTTAGCAACCGTAGCTCAGATTTATCAAAACGAGACATACATTTGTTGGTAAAGGAGATCCTGAATCGACGATTTCGTATTGTTGAAAGACAGCATGAATAGCATCGACGATAAACTTGTCTTCGCTAGCCACTGAGACTGTAACAAGTGCTCGAAAGACATTGCGAGCCTCGCTTCGAAACAAAAAAAAACGTTCTTTTGCAGCATCCGACAGATCTTCAAATCCTTTTGGAAACTCCGTACGCTCAATTAAGATATTCATCAGCCGCGAAATAAACGTCTCGAATCCAAACATGCGCTGTTCATATTTTCCAGAAATATAGGTGCGAAAATCAACCCAGAAGTCCATGGTCTCGTGAGAGGTATTAAAAAGATTCAGTGATGTGAAAAACAAAATTGCGTCGAGAAATTCATACACTAGTGATCCAGGTTGTAAATTCAGTGTATAATCCACAAAATACGTAATGAATGCTTGTCCACACTCCGAGATCGCTCTTGCACAATCATTCACACAAAAATCTAAGCTCTTCTCGTTTGCTGCGATGCATTCTTGGATTTTTTTTCTTAAGATAACAAAATTATGCATGATACACTCCATTAGCTGCGCATGTTCATCTTGCTGACAGACGCGAACCACTTCACGAACAGCATTCATTGCAGACAAGGAAGACGATGGCAACAACATGTCACAAAACGCTCGGTCCAAGAGCCCGCACTCCATGAGCACAGCGGGAGGCACCGTACCATGCTCCACCCAGCTCGCAAACGTTTGGAGCAACAAGGCTCCGAGCTGCTTTTGCTCCTCATTAGCATCAATCGCACCAGCAATTAATGGCAAAACATGTCGTACCACGTGAGCTGCACATATTTGCACCATATCTTCACAATGATCACGCCTAAATTTGGCAAATTTAACGCGCTTATTGTCCACTTCCTCTGGAATCACCTTAAGCGTCAACAAAACGGCAAAATTCGACAATGCAGCTGTTGTTCTATCAATTATAGGATGTTCTTGATTTTTCACAAGCCATTCTACTGCATCAATCACAGTGGCATTGCCCTGAGGTTCGTGAAAGCGTAACAAAATGACAGCAACTGTAAGAGCGAGATAAGTCTGAACATTCAGCTCTTCTTGCGTGCCACAAGGCCCAGTAAGCACGTTCCAGACATTCTGAGCCATTTGACCAAAATTTTTGACCACCAGCTCATGCTGTTCACGATCTTGAAGTGTCCATTTTGACACATCATCCAACTTGTACTTGCGAATGTACATAGCCACAGAGAAGTAGATCGTGGACGCCGAAAACACACGCTTGGCTCGTTCTAAGGCATCGTGCTCAGCATTGCCAGTAATGACGATAGGATTTTGAAGCACGGCAAGCGCTGTTACTGAAGCTTGAGGAGAGCGCTGGAACTGTTGAAGAAGAGAATCGGCACGACGACGCACGCGCGGAGAGCTGACGGGACTATACAACTGATGCAGCGCTTCGGACACGACAGCTTCAGACAAGACTGCTGCCACCATTAATCTAAAGGTTGTCGAATTGAGGTCAGAAGAAGAGTGGACCAGTTTAAATGCTCTCCTGTTGAAAAGCTATTAATAGTCCGCTATCTTGCGATACGCCAGAGCTCAGATTTGATTGTTTCTATTTTGGACAGCTGAACAGTCTTGAAAATATTATTGTGAGGACAACCCAGATTTTACTTCAAAAGTACCACCGCACCCATATAACCCATATATTCTAGTGCTGATAATGGTGTGTTTTCCCGTGCAGTTAAAATAGTGACATGCAATCGGGTTTGCCGAAGCCAATTCAAAATTTCAGTCGTAAAGTGGGAGTTCTCATTTTGGCCACTAATACTGTAATCGGTGAACTTCATTTTTTTAAGTACGAAACACTAACTGCGGAAAATGTTTTTTTTGATTTTACGCCTATTTTTTTTGATAAAAACAGCTGCTATTAGCTTTAGCTCTAATTTATTTCAGTAACAGTATGAATTATGTCTAGCTTTTCGTTCATAGCTCAAGTCATCTCAGTGTTCTTCGGCAACATTCCGGAAATCCACTTCTCACGGGAAGGGGCTCCGTGCTGAAGCTGGACGTACGACTTCATTGTGGCCTCAACTGCCTTTTGCAGCAAGGTTTAAGTAGACTGGTGGCTTGCGCTTAGGACGCAGGAGATACTTTGGGTTCAGAAGCTGTTATTGTTGCTGTTTTTGCGACGCAGATGCGTGAGCAAATTCGTTCGGCAGGTGCCGCTGAGTAAAAATTGCCCCTCTAACATGCCACAGAGGAATCGACTTCGCGAACGAAAATTTGTAGCGTTTTCCGCGAACGCTGCGTTTCTAACACAGTATGAAAAATTACATTGGTTGGCAAGATTGAAAATTCTTAATACCAGACGTCTGGTAAACATTCTGCATGCGTTGTACAATATTTCGTCATGATCCGAAAAAGTAGATATTCTTAACTTTTTCGGAAAAGTAGAAGTGCGGTAAGCACTCGAAGCTTAAAGCGCTCCGATTGGCTGCTTACCGTATGGACGATTTTTTCTGCAGGTCCATTCATCAAGTTTAAGAGGTAGCTAATTTAAATTTTACTTTATGCTTCGTGGCACACTCCTCCCCCAGACGCCTACAAAACGCAAAGAAGCCAGCAGTCTCCCCTCTCTTGGTCTTTCCTTGGCAAGTCTACTTCGTTATGCAGACAAAAAACATATTAGCAGTATCGCTAGCTGCGCTGCTAGCAATGGATGAGGCTGGCGCTGCCTTCTATGTTCCAGGTGTAGCACCCGAGTCTTGGGCTGCAGGCGAGACAGTCCACCTGAATGTCAACAAGATTACATCTACGAAAACGTTGATGCCATATGAATACTACTATCTCCCGTATTGTAAACCGGCGGCTATTAATGAGCAACAAGAGAATTTAGGTGAAATTATGGCTGGCGATACTATTATGGACTCGCTTTACAATTTGCAGATGGAGAAAGACGCGATTTGTCAAGTGTTGTGTAAGCCCATGAAGTACACGCCCGAGCAGTCAAAGTTATTTATTGACATGATTAAGGACGAGTACTACGTGCAGTGGATAGTTGATAATTTGCCGGTTTTGTACCGCGATCCGACCGACTCGCAGCAAGCGGGATCTTTCAAGCGTGGATTTCCCGTAGGAGAAGTGGACGAAGATGGAAAGTACCTTCTTTACAATCACGTGCGCATTATCATCTCAGTTAATCCAGATCCTTACGCAAAAGAGGATGGAGACGTTCCCAAGTGGCGCATCGTAGGCTTCGAAGCTGTACCTACTTCTATTCAGCACACTTTTGAAAATGAACCCATGGCAGGACAAGAACTCGACTCAGCCACATGTGGTAAATTTATCAATATCGAAGAGGTTTCTCAGGGCAATTATCAATATCTAAACCCCGCAGGAGAAACTACTGTCTTATACACATACGACGTGCAGTTTATCAAGTCGGATATTGTGTGGGAGGAACGTTGGGATCGCATTATTAGCAGCAAGAGCTCGAACGATCAGATTCATTGGTTCTCCATTATTAATTCGCTGATGATTGTTCTCTTTTTAACGGGAATGATCGCAATGATCATGTTGCGTACTCTTCACCGTGATATCGCTCGCTACAATGAGGTGCAGACGACCGAAGAAGCTCAGGAGGAATCGGGATGGAAACTGGTCCATGGTGATGTGTTCCGTCCGCCGCAACTGTCGCCTATGCTTTTTTCGGTCGTTGTAGGCACAGGTGTTCAGGTGTGTTGCATGAGCTGGTCAACGATGGTTATTGCACTCCTAGGTCTGCTATCACCGGCTAATCGTGGTTCATTGCTAACGACACTGCTGTTGCTATTTGTATTTATGGGTAGCTTTGCTGGCTACAGCTCGTCTCGGACGTATAAGATGTTCAATGGCAAGGACTGGAAGAAAAATACGATTCTTACGGCTGTGTTGTACCCTGGCCTTCTCTTTGGTGTCTTCTTTCTGCTCAATCTTGTACTTTGGGGCAAGGAGTCTTCGCAGGCTGTGCCATTTGGAACGCTTTTTGCTCTCCTTGTCTTGTGGTTTGGAATTTCTGTCCCACTCGTATTTCTTGGCAGTTATTTTGGCTTCAAGGCAGCTGCTATTGAGCAACCTGTGCGCACCAATCAAATTGCGCGTCAAATTCCAGAACAAGTGTGGTACTTGTCTTCGCCTTTCAGCATTCTTGTGGGTGGCATTTTGCCATTTGGCGCCGTTTTCATTGAGTTGTTTTTCATCATGTCGGCATTATGGTTGCACCAGATTTATTACGTCTTTGGTTTTCTGTTTATTGTTTTGCTCATTCTTGTAGCAACGTGCGCAGAAGTGACGGTGGTGATGTGCTACTTCCAGCTTTGTGCAGAGGATTACCGCTGGTGGTGGCGTTCGTTTCTTACATCAGGATCCGCGGCTGTGTATTTGTTCTTGTACTCGTTCCTGTACTTCTTTACCAAGTTGAACATCACAGCGTTTGTTTCGGGTGTCCTGTACTTTGGCTACATGTTCCTGATCTCGGTCACCTTTTTCTTTTTGACCGGAACAATCGGATACCTCGCTTGTCTTTGGTTTACACGCAAGATCTACGGCTCCATTAAAATTGACTAAGTACGTCAGCGTGTTAGCGATGTAAGAAATTGGTGATGAGGGCGAAACAACGAGACTATTCGGCCGACAGCTGGTCAATCTAACGCTAATTAGTACAAGCCATGCATGTGTTTCCTACGTGTGTAGAAGAAGCCAGAGGAAAATGTATTTCAATTGCTTTCATTTTGCTGTCGACGCACCATTAGTTACTAAATAGGAAATATTTGGCTTACAGAGTCCGCCATTTCATCAACCACGGATGCTTTTTAATGAGACTATTGGCCCGAGTTTGCCAGGAATTGACTTCGTCGAGAGACACACTGGTTGAATTGCCAACTGCTGCGAGAATCAAATCGCTAGGAGTGGCGATTAAATCAGCAGGTGTGCCAAGCTTTTGAAGCTCCAACCGTTGCACTAAATCAAACTCGCCAACTAGTTCCGCCATCCATTCATTAATCTCATCGAGACGAGCCTAAATAACAGTAATAATCTGGTAAGAGCCTAACACATTAGAGCAAAGTCGACATACCTCATCAATAAACTTTTCCAGCTTCTCCTGCACCATCTGGGCTGATGGATCTAGCGGATCTACGAGAAATTGCACTATTGCATTTACGGAAGCGTCCGCCAGTTCTCTTCTAGTAACGATAGAAGCTTTCGTTTGCAGCCACCAAGCAATCTCAGTGCCCGTGATCTGAGCTACTTCATCATCAACAGTGTTGCACCCACCAGTGCGTCCAACTTTTACCAAGCTGAGACACGTCCATGGATCTTTATCCAGCTCAGCATTTGCTGCTTCCGCGATAGATAGAATGCGCGCTTTGTCACAGATATCGCAGTAGACGGTTGTTGCTTCCTCGACTTCTACGTCGTATTCTGATACTTTTTCTTCGACTCCAATTTCTTTATCAGTGATTGTCGTATCTTTTTTAATAAAAACGGATACAACATCGTTTGCCTGGGCATTTCGGTCAAACCGAGTCAACGCAGCGCGAGCTGATGCAGTGCGTGGACTACTTGAAGTTGCTACGTTCGCAGTCAGAGCAAGGGTTTGAGCTGATGAGGTCCATTTTGATACAACGGGCTCATGGCTGGCATTCTCGTCCTCACATGATTTCACAGAAAGATTTTTTTGACGTTCTGTTGCTATAGCTCCTTTCATTTTGGGACTCGGAGATGATGCGCACTTTTTCTTTTGCTTGCCTTGCTTCCAAAGCTTATACTGTTCTTCATTTGCCTAATTGTGGACATTCACGATCACAGGCAATTACCCATATCCAAATGCAAGAACACAAAGAAGTAATTACTTAATCAATACCTTTGCCTCCGTGGCCTTCTCGGACAGAACCCTATTTCACACCAGGATATGTCATGGGTTAGCAAATCTTATTCGTCTTACGTTAAATTCTACATGACCGACCGGGTACGAATGTCAATAAACGACCAATCTTCATCGGGGACAAGGTCTGCTAGTCCTTCAGCTACATTCCCGTCGTACATGTGCGCGATGCTCCAGAATACTCTCGTCGACACTTGTGCCATGTTAAATGGCTTCAGCATTTCGCGACCAGTCTCACCACCTGACAGCAATACATACTTTAAAATGGCCTGCAGCTCGTATTTCTTCAAAAAATCCACTGTTTCTTCCTTCCATTTGCGCGGTGTCTCCTTAAATCGTACACGCAACTTTGCCGCGCTTCCATCACCGCGTCGAATTGTCAAAAGTTCTTCAGTCTCAAAATTATGTGCCAATGCTGCATTTAACCTCGCGGTTGCCAATGTAAGTTCATACTGATGCTCCACTGCATTCCTTGTCACAGCTCGAAAAAATTTTACGGCACGATCGCGAGATTGACCACTAACAGCGTTCACCAAATTAACTTCGACATCCTCCTTGGAAGTAAGATTGATAGTTTTACTACGGCGAAATTTACGCTGCGGTTCGCTTTCATTTTCACCAGCCAGCTCAGCAGCTTCAAACTCGCTATTTCCTAATGAGCTTCCGAGCTGGTGACCAGTACCTGGTATTTTTCGCTTCGGTATAGTTTTTTTCTTGGCGCTAGTCGACGGATTCAACGTGTGCACTCCACTTTTCGATGCTAAAGCATCGGAATTTTTTGGAGTTGGTCTCACGAATCTTTTTGTAATCTTTGCAGCACTAGAAGCAGACTTGTTCGCAGGAAGCATATCATCCACCGTATTCAAAGTTTTGCCAACAACTACCGTGTCATTAGGCTCAAAGACAGAATTCACCAGTGTCAAGCTGTCCGCTTTCACAGGTTTAGGTGGAAACCCTGTGCAAACTGCAACCAGTATATTAGGTGTCAAATAAGGCCAATCATTACTGCTCCGATGCTGCGTACATGTAAGGAGGTCTTTGGTCTTCAGGCCCAGCTCTTTTGATGCCAGTTCTATGGAGCAAAGCCGCCAATTACACCAATAAACTAGTACGTCCACGAGTAACAAACCTGATAAATACTTTAAAGTGGTCTCAGGTTCGACCTTAAGCACGACCTGCTTCCCACCTGGCCCGCGAATACGGATACTCCACATAATTTAGAAGAATATTTCGCTATGGTTGGTGCAGCGAAATTTTATACCAATTCCTTATGAAACTAAAAAGGTGATTTTTCTAAGCAAAATTGTCAATGGCCGACTTAACTTGGCAACAGTCGCTGGTGCGCGAGACGGACGCCGCCAAGAGAGAATGGATGGCTTTGGAACGCCGTTATCATTTGAAGCTATGTAATTTAGATGCTGAGAAGCAGGTCAAACATGTGTGTCTTTTTTTGAGTCTATCAGATCAAGAGTTGCCAGCGCGATTTAAAGGGCAATTGAAACTGCAGATGACGCTGCCAAAAAAGTATCCAGTAGACCCTGTTCAAGTGGATTTTGTGCAATGGAGCAATCAACTGTCGAACGATCAGATTAAAGCGCTGAACATCGCGGTGGGTGCCAAAGCTCAGCAGCTGTGTGGAGGTTTTGCGCTAAGGAAGCTGCTGACCTGGATTGACAATAATATTTGGTGTGTCATTGCTCCATTCGAGATCAATCATGAGATGGTGAAAGAAGTGGCAGAATTGAGAATCACACGGGAAGAAGATGCGAATCGGGTTTTATCTGAGAAAGAAAAGCATAGAAAACGAGGCTCAGGGCGTCATTGCCGCTATTTCGTACGAGGATTCTGCAGAGTGGGAAAAACTTGCAAGTTTGCACATATCGAAAATGAGAAGTTGAAGGCTGAAAATGGTGGTGGAGATTTAGTGTCTTTTGATGTAAACGATTTCTCAATCAATAGCGAAGCTGATCCAGCAAAGCCTTCTGAAAAAAGGAATATCGTGGCTACAGCAGAATTAACAAAAAGCAGAAAAAGTATGGTGCGCAGATGTATATTTTTTGCGCAGAGTAAGTGTCGCTATGGAGACAATTGCAAGTTCTTGCACACGGTTAAAAATACCGGGATGAAGAAGTACATTGAGACACAAAGATCACTTCCCCTGCCACCTGCTGTCGTTGGTATACTTGGTAAAATTACATCTGTAGCAACAGCTTCGAATGAGGATGTTACGAATGAAAACTCTTCACATATCTCTGGATATGAAAATTGCGGCGTGAAAAGTAAAAATAGCCAAGAGTGGTCCGAATCGCAGCAACGAGCACTGGATGTGGCCCTTAAGAAGTATCCAGCAACAATGGATAAAAAGAAAAGATGGACGAACGTTGCAAAGGAAGTCGAGGGGAAGTCTTTGAATGAGTGTATCGATCGTTTTAAATTGCTGTGTGAGCTTGTGCGGCGCGGTGTTGATCTTAACGCGACTGTCACCGCTTGCACTACGGCGGAAAACGAAAATATTGCAGCGGAAAAAATAAATCTCCAGATTCTTACCGATAACCATAAAATTACGCCTCCTGAGCAGCGCGTCACTATTGAGACCGAACCTGATGTCAAGGGCACTCAAATCCGTCTTGAGGATTTGGTTTTGCACCAAGTTGGCACGCTTGTTGCCCATCGCCTCGTTTGCCAAGTCCAGTGTGACGACTGCCCACTCCAATTTGATGCAGTACTTAGTATAGACTCTCCGAAACTGCAAAAGTGGTGCCCAAGATGCAGCGTGCTTCATCATGTGCTAATGAGGCCTGTGTTTGCACATTCACACAGCGATACACTCGCTTATGTGGACACGGATAATTGTTCGATAGTTGACGTGCTCCCCACGGATGTTTTGGCCACCTGTTTGGAGTGTGGATGCGAAGCGTTAGTAGAGAGACTTAAGCCGAGGCAACGATCAGAACACACATGCTATTCCTGCCACATTAAACTTGCTGTGTTCGTCAAGCGCTTTCTGGCTCGCCATATAGAAGGATCAAGTCGCAAAAAACGCAGTCATTTACCTAATGCCTTATCTGCGAAAGTAGGGAAAAGTACAAAGAAGAAAGATCAACAGATTGTAGACTCATTCGTCCTTGGACAGCCACTGCCGCGCAAAGGAGCATGTGACCACTACAAAAATTCATAT